GCGGGGAGCCTGCTTCTCCCTCTCCCTCTGCCTGCCACTCCGCCTGCTTGTGTTCTCTCTCTCTTTCTCTCCATCAAATAAATAAAATCTTAAAAAAACAAAAACAAAACAAAACAAAAAACCAACTGATGGGTCAGCAACAGTGATTGACAAGGAGCCAGCTCAGAGCCCTCTGACAGGGCTTTGATTAGAGGGTCTATCTCTAGAGCTGCCTTTTTCTGGGGAACCCAAGTACATTTAATGGAAGTTTGTGACTTATATGGGAACATGAATTCCAGAGCTTTCCAAATTTGGGAGGTGTGTCAGTCTATGTTAATAATATCAGCAAGAATATACCCTTTTAGGGAAATTGTTCCTTTATAACCAGGTGGAAACTACAGAATATGTACTATGAAAACATCCTTTCCCTGCATGTTCTCTTTTGAGAGACAATCTGCCATCATCTTTGGTTTAAAAAAAAAAGTAATTATTTTGAACCAACATACTTAACTTATATCAAGATTTTTAAATGCTTGTTAAGAACATGCTTATATACGTGCAGGTATGTGATGGAATGTTCAGATCATGAGTACTCATTCCATCAGGAAGTAAGACTTACAGCTTTCCAGTTCAAGGGAACAGTTTTGAGTGTCAAGAGGAAACCTGCTGAAACCCATAAAGCACATGGCTGAAACAGTTATCCTATAAAAGGAGAGAGAAAACAGAAACTGCAGATCATTTCACCATATGGCCAAATAAACCTGTAATACTGAAACTCCCTTACTGTGGTGCTTGCTTTGTGTGCCTTTGAAGAATAGTGTGAAACAGGCATTACCATCCTCTATCCAAATAATGTCTAAGGACGCAAACCCAGGAAGGTGTGTAGTTTGCTGAAAACACAGGGCTAACACAGGAATTCCTGCCCTAAAGATTGTTCCTGATCTCACTGTTTCCTAGTCTGCGCCCTCTGTATTTTTTGGCTCCGATGTCTTCAGAAAAACATACTTCAAAGGGAGATGACTTTTAAATAGATTTAAATATTTTCTGCTTTTTCAAAGATCCAAACTTTGTTTCTAGTCATAAAGGGCTGGGATGGTGGGAATAAAAACCTATGGGTAAAGGTTTCTCTCACAAAGCAAGTTTACCTGAGAAAATGCTCTTTCCAGGAGTGAGGAGAAAGCCTGGAGCATTTTCAGTTATAGATTTATGTGATCAATGCATAATTCAGGTGCTATTAAGGCTTGCATACTGATGAGGATTGTTTTTTTCAAATTTTATATCCTCCTAGATTTTTCTGGCTTTAGGCAGAGGCTGCTATACTATGATCCTGTCTCAAAGTACAAACTCTGGTATCCACAACAGCAGATCAGAGGTTTATAAAAGGCCCCTGAGCAAGTCTGCACAAAACAAAGGCAACAGCTGCTCCTACCCATGGTGCCCCCAAGTTAATCAGAGAAGTAGAACCATTTTATCTTCCATGGGTTGAATTCTACTGTCAATAGTCATGCAGCAAAATGCCAACCCAGGGAAGTATCTGGATGACTTTGTGTCACAAAACACTCATTTTGGCATATTCCTGCTACAGTTGACCTTTGAACACTTCAGGGGTTAGGGGCGCCAACTCCTGCGCAGTTGAAAATCACATATAACTTTTGACTCCCCCAAAATTTAACTACTAAAAGCCTACTGTTGACCAGAAGCCTTACTGACAACATAAACAGTCAATTAACACGTATTTTTATATGTATTTTATACTGTGTTCCTATAGTAAAACTAGAAAGAAGAGAAGTTATTAAGAAAATCATAGGAGAAAATACATTCACAGTACTGTACTGTATTTATCAAAAAAAGAAAAAATCCACATATAAGTAGATGTGTGCAGAAGGGACCTCTGAAATCTTTGAGTCTATTCCTTCATAGTAGACATGAATAAATTAACAACCAAAGTGGTCAAGTAAGTGGTGGTAATGAGAAAACTATCCATGACACTTGTTCAAGAACAGTAAAGAAGAATTTATTTAGGGGAACTACTATAATTTGGTTTATTAACAAGGGAGAGAGGAGTGGGCTCAACTCCAAATACAACAAGGAAAAGTAGGAATTTATAGCCAAGGAGCAGGGTTGGGGGCAGTGGATGGAAACTACTCAGAGGAAACATCACTTGTAAGAGGTGGGTGGGAGGGTGGTTCTAGCTAAAACAACATAACAGGATCCTCGCTGAAGGCAGGCCAGGGTGATCAGACATCACTTGGGGGTGGTAGAAGATGAGGAATCTGATCAGATTTGGAGGGTGATCAGATATTGCAGATGGAGGATTCTGGCTGACTGCACTTAGCAGAGACAAACATGGAAGCTCAAAAGTCAGGGACTAGGTGAGAAGAAAGTTCAGAGGAGTCTAGCAGAGTTTGGCCAAAGAGAGAATCTTTGTCAGTAGATGGTGTCAGAACCAAGCCTGGAACCAGATAACCTGGCTCCGGGCTTGGACTGGCTCTGCTGTCAGCTAGAATAGGTGTGTGGACAACAATTTTGAGTCCTTCTGTGTTTGGGGATTCCCCAAGACCACCGTCAGGTTCCATGATTTGCTAGGAGGACTCACAGAACTCATCAAACCTTTTACACTAACAGTTATGGTTTACTGTAATGGAAGGACACAGATAAAAATCAGCAATGGAAAAGGCACAGAGGACAGGGTCCAATAGAGACCAGGAGCAAGTTTCCAGATGTCCTGTTCTAGTGGAGTTATGTGGACAGCGCTACCGTCCCAACAGTGATGTGTGACCATGGGGTACTGCCAACCAGGGAAGCTACCTGAACCCTGGGGTCCAAAGTAATAGAACTCAGAGTTGGTCCCATAGGTCCAGCTGACCTTGGTCTCCAGTCTGTCCAGAGGTCAAGCTGATACCAGGTAACTCAAAGCCTCCTCCATAAATCCCATTGTTAGCATAGACTGTCTGCTGTGGCCCAAGGCCTCAGGGTCAAAAAGATCCTCTTATCAGGCAGGATATTTGAAGAGCTTGGAGACTGAGCCAGAAATCATTCTTTGGAATGTGCAGGGTAAGGACAATCTACTGAATTAATTATTTCATCAAAATAATTAATTTTAAGAAGTTGAAAGTTTTAAACAGTTGATTCCTTGGCCGGACGCTGCCATTCTGCTTCTGATTCCTAGTGAGGCCTGACTCCAGTATGGTTCCGAGTCCCATGTTCCTCCTGACTTAAAAGTTCTACCGAAAGTATTACTTTCCTTTCATTGCCTTTTTAAAAACATTGACAGCAATATGGCAATAGCACCTTTGTCCTAAAGCGAGCACGGTCTTTTTAGTGCACAAAAACAACCTGTATTAGTTTTCTATTGCCACTGTAACAAATTACCACAAACTTGGTGGCTTAAAACAACAGAAATTTATTCTCTCACAGTTCTGGAGGACAGAAGTCTGAAATTAGTATCACTACACCAAAATTAAGGTGTCAGAAAGACCCTGTTCCCTCCAGAGGCTCTAGGGGGAAAATGCATCCCTTGCCTCTTACAGCTTCAGGCAGCACCTGACATCCCTGTGCTAGCGGCTACATCACTCCGGTCTCCGTCTTAATGGTCACGTTGCCTTTCTCTAACAAAGCTACTTACGACTGATTGCGTTTGGGTCCCAACCAACTGATCCAGGATAATTTTCCTACCTCAAGATCCTTAACTTAATCACATCTGCTAAGATCCCCCCCCACTTTTTTTTGGCCAAATAAAGTAACTTTCACATGTTCCAAGGACTAGGACATGGATATCCTTCGGGGAGCCTTTTTTTTTTTTTTTTCAGAGTCTTACGACAGAGTCTGGGATTTCTAAGACATGAAAAACATTGAATTACTTGGATTTACTAAGCATTTTTAGAATTACCAATGATAAGCCATTCAGTATGTACAGGATTCATTAGGCTAAAAGAACATGTTGTGAATTAAAGATGGAGGGCTGTTACAGCATAGTGTCAGAGAAAATGTTTTGAATTAAAAACATGAAAAGGGAGTAAAACAAATTAGCGGTAATTTGAACAATGACTATACCTTCTTGTAAAAAATGAAGGAGATAATTAAGAAAACTATTTAGTTAATCCAAGATTCCAAGACCGCTTGGTAATGTATAATTCGTAAAGAAGAAAAGCAATTTTGTGCACCTATAAAATTGTGGGCCAGACTTTTGGGGATTTCCATACTTTGGCCCACTCTGTCCAACCTTATTTTCCATCATTCTCCAATGATATGCTGATATCCAACGATATCATTCTCCAACAATATGTAGATAGAGTAGAAAACTCTTCTTTAAAATCTAAAAGTTAGAACAAGGAAAAATCACATTTTCTGCCTGTGTCCCAACCTTCAGCATGACTAAACAGACAGTAATATTGTGAGTTTAGTCAGAAGTGAGATCCACTAGCTTTGGTGTAGACAACCCTGGTATAGGGAAGCCAAAGAAGGTACACAGCCCTCCTTACCTGAGACCGAAGAGGACGTTTCCATCAGGGTACACGCGCAGCATGATGTTCTCCACAGTTGTATCATGAATGAAGGATCTTTAGAATGGACAAAAAAGATGTCAGGTACCCAAATCTTTTTGATCAATCTATGATCAAAGGTCATGCTTTTATTTGTTGTGCTAGGAAAGGAGAGCCTCTCATCTTTCCAGTAATGTCTGAGATAAAAAGTCATTGTAAAGTCCTAAGCAGAGAGAAAAAGAGACAAGTCAAAGCCAGAGGAATATGGTTCAGAATGACCAATTAATACCATTAGTTCTAGATTGATTGGCATGGGTGTTAATGACCTATAAAGTGAATGGCTTATATTGTATTTTCAGGCAGATTTAGGATGAAGCCATTGAGCTTGAGTTGCAGAGCCTCTCCTTCACCTGGAGTCTGGTGAATGTTGAGTTTCTAGGAACCAGAGAGAATTCAAGTTGGGTAAGGGAAGCTAGGTTATAACTGGGAAACATTTCTACATAAGCACTGGTAGAAATCAGCTGAAGAGATCTCAGAAGAAAAGGATTTGGAACTACATGGCCCAGTATTTTATTTTGACTTATTTTTTTCATTGTAAATATATATTCACTTTTATAATGGATTCTGTATCCATACATTTGTATTATTTTTGTTAAAGAAGCCCCCACCCCAAGTTGAATAAACTATAGTCCCACAAAAATGAACACAGCATTTATTAGAGCTGTTAATAGAAAGCATGCTGTCAGAGATCCTGACATGGAGATAACGATTTTCCTCAGCTTGAGAGAGAGAAAGAATACCAAGAAATTGTGGTTCTCAAATTCTAGTGTTCAAAAGACTTACCTGTGAACTTGTCAAAACAGCACATTCCCCAGAAGCTAATACCCTGAGATTCTGACCCAGTATGGCTGAGGGAACTGAATTGTTAGTGTGTAACCCAATTGTAAAGAGAGAAAGATGGGGGGCAGACGGAGCTATATTAACATTATTTTAGCAGGGAAAAAAGTCAATACTTTGAGCTTTGTTTGGCTCTCAGATGCTACATTTAACATCTTGTTTGTGTGAACAAAAACTCCCCTAGCGGGCGCCTGGGTGACTCAGTCGGTTGAGTGACTGCCTTCGGCTCAGGTCATGATCCCAGGGTCCTGGGATC